TTCCTTCATTTCCAAATTTCCTGTTATAAATTTTTCGTAGGACTGAGATAATTAAATTTTCATATGAATTATGAATTACTGAAATAGATTTTTTTATCATTGCATAAACAAAATTTAGGGTTTATGATTTACTAAATATAACTGAAATTCACCGCTTATTTCTTATAAAAAAAAGTTGTGAGAAATAATTCATTAGTTGACAAGCCTGCATGAATAAATTATTGTTGAATTCAAGCGATGAACAAAGTATGACGTCTGTGAAATCCCACTTTTTAGATTTGCAATTTTTTAAAAATTTCCAGAAATTGCGGTATATGTTTAAATGTCCACTTTTTTCTTCAATATCTTCAATAAAAGGCCCATAATTTTATCATATTTTAAAATATACTCCTCTCTTTCCCTCTGTCTTCCGTTCCATACCTATGCTATTAATTATCCATTATTCATCTGCCTTAAAATAGATTGCCTTAACTCTATGTTCAGTCCGATATTCTCCAATTTTCTCAGTTCCATGATGTGTGCCTTTTTTTCGTTTGTGTATTTCTGAAATCTTTTCTTTAATACTTAAATAAAATCAGACTTATGAAATTATTTTTCATAATCATCCTGACTAATCATCTATTTATTTCTTCTATAGAAAAGAATAATTACCGGAAAAAGGACAATTATATTTTAATCAGTTAAATCTGTTTCATCATTTATTTCCTTTTTCTCATCTAATCATGACACCGAAATTTATCAATTTTTTTCTTAACGAAAATTTCTTTCACTTAAAACATTACAAATATGATATGATAAATTAATACAGGCAATTAAATCAAACAACTTTACTCGTAGGCCTAGAATATTTTGTACCGAGACATGCGACAGTAATATAAAAAACATTGAATTATTACTGATCAAATGATTTTCATCATCTCCCAGACTATATAGATCTTATCAATTGGTTATATAAGAATTGCTGATTTTTTATTGACATATTTCTTTCTATTTTATTTTCATATTTTACGCATAATATTTTAATTACTTATTGAATTGGCAATGTTAAATGCATTTGTATGTATCTGTGCTGTGTGTGTGTTTTTCTTTATGCAAATATTTTTTATCTTCCATCTTTATTTTACACTATTTTAAGCATTCAAAGTCACCAATAAATATTTTTGTGTGAGCTAAAATTTTGTCAAATATATTTTGAAATTTCTTGTCAAGATCGATGATCGGTTAATAATGATAATATATTTAACAGCAATGTTGAGCATTTAAAAGTGCCAATATTATTTTAGCAATAATGACCGATGTTACAATTCTTGGATTAACGTTCATAATATTTGGGTATCATTTCCATCTGATAGGATCAGATAATGATTATCGCAGTTCTATTTTATAGTTAACAACATGCTGGAAGGGCTAGTCATATTACTTTGCAAAATTTATGAACTATTCTTGATAGGATAACTTTGACATTTCTGCTCGAGTTTGTCGTCTGTATGGCATTTGTTTGTACAAAACGTTTCACAACTGTGTATGCTTTGTAAAAGATTGCAAATATCATAAAACTCATAAATCAGCACTTCGTTAGTACTAGGAATTTAAATTTAAATTCCATGCAAAAGAGGGAAAAAAATTTAATGCTTTGACAAATACTCGAATTTATATATTCTATTCGAAATGGCTATGTTAAAATATCGAAAAAAATATCTCCCTTCATGCAATTCTTGCAATGCGAACATTTTCAAGAAATTTAATTGATGAATGCTTCCTCATTTTTATGCTTATTGCTGACAATCATTTTGGCGTAAAATTGAGCCATGTATTCTAAGTTGCATATATTTCAAGCAAATAATTCTTTTAATTTTCTCTTTTCTTTTTAAACCTGGAAAAAATCCGCGTAAAATTCGAAAATTTTATAAAAAAGAAGTGGAGAAAAGGAAGAAAAATGAGTGGGGAAAAAAGGAGAATTTTGTTGTAAAAAACTATTCGCAAAACGAAATTCATAGATGTTTCGATAAATTAACAGTTAGTATCATACTGTTAAGTAAGTTTTGTAAAGTTGTATGATAATATGGGACTTATATCGAAAAATCATTATGAATATCGAGGAATGTTTGTGCAGCGAGGATAAATTAATTTGAGAAAAATTGTATGAAATATTTATAAAACAATGCAGAAGTTAGTTCGGAAAATCTATGATATTAGAATAAATAATCTTTAGCAATTATTTTTTTCTTTCAAAATTAAGAATAGATAGATCAGTTAGCCATGAAATACTTGTAATGTTGCTAATTCTGAATGAAATAAGTAATGGCTTTCGGAAATGAATTCGGAAACTGATAAAATTTTGAAGAATGAAAACAAAACGCACACATACTTTTAATTTGTTAATCGAATAAATAAGCTGAAAAAAGCAAAGAGGCTTAAATTGGCAGAAGAAAATAAAAATGCATTCTATTTATTGTGTTGATTGCATTACAACTTTTGCTAGCATTTTTTTTCTAACTGAAAAACATGAAAAAATTTTTTAAATATTTTATAAACTTTGCATATTTTATTTTAATTAAAAAAGAGAAACTCATAGGTAAAGGAAAAATTTTTTCTTTATTTCTGTTTTAGATTTTATATTATCAAAATTTGTCATTAATCATTTTTTATTAATTTAAATTATTTCTCTGTCATTCGCATTAAATTATTGTTGAATGAAAAATCTACTTAATTCAACCATGAATTATATCTGATAATGTTGTGCTTTGAAATTGTAAGGTAAATTTAGTAATTGCTATTATTATTATATTTACACTCCGACCTATTGCAACCAATCCAAGATTTAATATGGAGCGCTTGATCTCAAGTGACAACATCAATTTATTTAAAATTATTTCACATATTGTGCATTTTAAGTAAGTTTACGTACTTGAGTTGATAGTTGATTTTCCGACTATTAATAATTCAAATTATTTGATCCGTGTGTTATCGTCATTTCAGATGGAATAAAATGAAATGATAAATAATAAAAAGTGTGGGTAATAATATTCATGTGCAAATGAACATTTATAAAATTTTAAATCTTCGAATATAACTTGGAATTTAAGAGCAATGATTTATCTTGAGGCTAAAAATAAAAGAAGATTGGCTTAGGATGGTATCCATTAAATTCGCTTTTGCTAGCGGGCAAATTCAAATAGCATTTGCTTGAGTTTTGCAAAAAATTATTTTTGTTCTTTTAATATATTTGTTAAATTTTAATGTTTTCATTTTTCTTCTTGTTATAACGAAATTTTTCGAAATGTTACAAAAATTAGAGATTTTGTCAATTTTTCCATATATATGAGATTTCCGGAAATGCTGTTTTAATAAATAAAAGCTGAAATTTGCTTAAATTTTTAAAATTTGCTACTATACTTCTGTTATTTATTGATAATCAAGCAATTTAAAACATTAAAAAGAAGCAAAAAATGGGTTAAAACAGTTTCTTCTCTAGATATTCTATCTAGTAGAATTTTTGCATTTTATTCTTTGATTAATATAAATAGAATTATTTGACAAAATTTAAGTGTGAAGAAAATTATCAGAAAATTTTCTATCAATAAAAAGAATTGTAACAAAATATAAACGTGTGGTAAATATCTCTTTGAATAATTCAATCGAAAGTAACAAAATAAAAGCTAAGCAATTTTAAAGAATAGCAGAAGGAACAATAAATTTCAAACGCTTACATTTAATCATCTTCAACTACTTTCCCATTTCACTCAACAGACAAATTCTTAGCAGATTGAACTTTTCCCTCGAGACTTTTTGGATGAGTTAGATTCCGGCAAATTTATTTTCAGATACATCCTCATATTTGCTCTCGAAGCAAATAAACTCTCTCTATTTTCTCGCTTCCTTTTTTTCTCGACAATTTAATTTAAAATTTTATAAATTTTTGCATAACTTCCAGTTGAAAAAAATCATTGTTATTTGATAGAATATATGAGGAATTCATGCAATTGAAATTTATTCAAAATGTTTAGGATATTATCTTATAGCTTTTCGGAATCCTTCAACAACTCTTCAATTAAGTTATACAGTTATCGGCAATGAAATTGAGAAAGCATTTTTTAAATGCATTCAATGATAGCGATCATATCAGGTTAGGCTAATCAGAAAATTTTTTTATTTTTTTCCCTTTTGAAAATTGAATCTTTTAGTTTTTACTTCTACTTTTAATGCTCGTTTATTATTTTTACAAAAAATGCTACAAATTTAAGCATTTCTTCTTTTTTAATGCTAATTGTTATTATACGAAAGAAAAGGAAGTTAAATGTAATATTATATTGGTAATATTACAATTGCTATCAATATTATTGACGACAATAAATTAAACTTGCAACTTATAAAAGATGTACACTTCAATTCCAATTTCCATTCTGTCACTAACATTATGTAACTTATTTATAGCTATTTCAGCCATTGCATATTTCCTATTTTCTGAAATTGACAAAATTGAAAATTGAAGAAGATTTTGCAATGTTAACACACGTAAACACAACAGGTAATGTGGGAATGAACATATGAATTACCCTGTATTTAATTACTTATTTTCTTTTTCTTCATTTCAGAATGATTTTTCAATAATTTACGTTTGCAGTAAATATCAACAATAAATGAATTTTTCATTTATTAATGATGAAATTTGAAAAATATTTTTTATTGCTGTTATGTTTGATATCTTTTCAAATTTTAATCATTTCCCATCAACAACTTGCATGCATCCTACGATGTAAAGATAGTAATGTTAGTTTAATTTTGTTCTTACTACCACTTGAAATTTTTTCTAATTAGTAATTTTAAAAGTAAATTTTGTGCAAAACATATGGTTTATAATATTGGAAATAATTTTTTTTTTAAATTAAGATAATCAATTAAAATATATGAATTAGTAGCAATGTGAGAATTAAAATAACTTTTGCAAAATTACAAATATCAAAAGTTTCGTTTCAAGATTTAAAGTTACTTACTTTTAGATGAACGGTATGACACACATTTTGGGTGCAAGCGATTATTGGGCCAAAGATTTAATAACACCCTTACATACCATATTAATTGGCCTTCCGAAAACTTCACGCCATCGTATCATTAGTTTTGCTCACCGAATTGATGATATTTGCAAGTATCCTTTCTCCATTTCATATTTTAAAATGACAAATTGTAAATTATTAGCTATCTTCAAAAGTATTCAATTTAATATATTGTATTTAATATCCCTTAATATTATCTAATATCAATTGATATCTTCAATTAATTTTCAATATCAATTCAATTAATATTTATTATCAATTAATATTTATTATCAATTAATATTCCCAATTAAATATTGTAATTTTAGTTTCAGATAGTGTAAGCGGAATGAAATATATTTAAGTAATAATTTTTATGGGCTATTACAATTTAAACAGATATTCAATTTAATACTATAAAAATGCCCAATTTATCATCTCAGTGTTGCATATTGTTGCACATTATATTTCTAACTGTAACAGTAATAAAACTTATAGAATATCTTAAACCATAAACCATCGAATAATTTAGTGAAAAATTAAACAGTCTTACAAAAATTAACATTCTTTATCATTATTGTAAAATACAAAGTGCAAAATCGTGAATTATTGTAAAAAATCAACTAGTACGGATTAAGGAATCTAATTAATTATTCTTTTTTCACTATGTAAAATCTTTTATCAGTACTATACTAATCATTGAAATAGCTATTGGAATTTTATTATTAACTCACACACACACTGCCAACTAATTTTTTTCCAAGCATTCACAGGATGAATTAAATTCAATTTTACTCGATTAGGTAATTTAATTACGTGTTCCTTCTAATTTATCATTTTTAGGTATCCTTTTAATTTACAACTTTTAGGTATTATCGTTTAAGTAATATAATTGCTCTTACCTATTGTGCCTGTTTTCAATACTAATAATTGTTGGGATGTGAAATTAATTTTAGGCTAAATGCAGAATTTGCAAGTTGCAATAATTGCTCTTACCTATTGTGCCTGTTTTCAATACTAATAATTGTTGGGATGTGAAATTAATTTTAGGCTAAATGCAGAATTTGCAAGTTGCATAAAAAACTGCGGTGATCAGACTATTGGTGATATATTGCTAAAAGGTCAAATTTCATGGACAAGCATTTGTGATGCATATCATTATAACACTGGTTTGTTATCAGTTTTTTATCTGATAAATATTAGGCCTACTGATGTTATCAGTATGCTACAATTTCGAGATAACAAACATTTCAGATGATTTTTTGTCATTCATTGTACCATGTTGGTCAAGGCATGGCAATGATGTTGTAACGCTATGTGCAACGCAAACAGCAGTCCTGCAGCATGCAGCATCAAGCTTAGTGGACAATGGTATAGAAATGGTCAACGAGCATCTCGACGATTTATGCAAGTTAGCATTAGGAAGTTATATTTCTGATGAATACTATTTTTATTCTAAAAGAGAAGTGAATAACGATTTAAATAGGAAGATTCAGAAAGAATAAGTTCAAAAAAATCAGATATGGTGATGTAATTGCAAAGAAACAAAGACAGAAATTAGATATAGCATTAGAAAACTTTGAAATAATTGACGATATACGAATTATATGTATTAAACATTTTTTTAAATATTTAAATCAATGTATCTTATTGAATAATCTATTGAACATCCTCTGTGATTTGTAAATATCATAGGAATCTTTAATGGTAGAGATCTTTGATGCTCTATCATAAAATAAACAACTGATAACCCAATTAATATAATAATTGATATTTCAGCAGTGTCATAATGCATGACAAATGCTATGTGAGGCAATCAAACAAATTTTGTGGTTTAAAAATGCACGAATTTTTGATTAATTTGAGCCGGCGAAATTTTAGGTTTGTCTTAACTTTTATATTTTTTGCTTTCATAAGTTTTTTTTTTGTTCTAAAATATATTTTTTCTCTAAGATCAAACATAATTGAACTGTTAATCCATATGCAAAACTAGAAATTTCGACTGATATAAATAAATGAAAAATTATTTTTATCAATTGCATAAATTCAACTCACTTAATTTAATTCAAATTTTCCATTATTTGACGTATCATATTTGTTGTTGTTTATGTTTTGTTGTCATTTTCATTTTATAAAGTTCCAGTAATTAAATTTTTTACAATAACACGAAATTAATCTGTATGATAAATCATTGGAAAAAAAATATTACAGAACATTGCTGGAATTATTAAAAGAATCCGGATTAATTAAGCGTTTGCCGGATTCATGTGAGCATTGGGCAAAAAAATCATTAAATCACAACTGGCATAACGAACGTGAAAACGCTCAGCGTCGTGATATTTCCGCCAGTGGTGGTAGGAGACGCTGTTACTATTATTGTTATTGTTTTTGCAATACAATATTTCTCTCATTTATTACTGTTATATTTGTCAACCAATAATTAATTGTGTGTTACAAAATTGAAACGAAACAGAAATTAGAATTAAAATTGAAATCAAAAAAGAAAAGCTGATGATCGTAACTAATTTTTCGATTGCTGAACAAGGAGAATTAGAAAAAGGAATGGAAGAAATTAGCTAATATTTTGAAGTTTTTTATTTCTTAATGCTTATAATTAATTTGTACTATGTAAAATCGGAATAAACATTGAAATTTAAACCTGTTTTTTTTTCATTTTTTTGTTCAATAATTGAATAAGTGAAAAGAAGTAACAAATAGGTAAAAAGTGAAAAGAAGTAACACACAGGTTAGTTTAGTGGATTGAGTGAAGTTTTTATATTAATTATAATTATTCCAATTTTAGTGATTATTAAAAATTCAAATAAAAAGAAAAGAGGAAAAGAGAAACCAAAACTTCAAATTTTTTTTATCCCTTTTTTTTCCTTACAACTGTTGCATTCCTTTCGCATTTCGCTTCCTTCCACTCTCATTTTTCTTTTTTTTTTCTTTCAGCCTAATAGGACAATGATGACTTTTAGAAGTGATGTTGAACGTGGGCAATGGTTGAAGGTTTCTCAAATTACATACAGAACCCAAACATTAATTATATTAATTCTCTCCCATGTGACCCCAATTATGCGATTGCGATTGTCGTTTTGATGAAGCATTTGCATGTTTTCCATCAAAACCATTTTTCAAAATAAAATAATCAAATTTTCATTTAAAAAAAATAAAAGTAAATAAATGAGTAAATTTCTTCTCTTTTTTTCTATTCATTATTTAATACATTGCCAAAAAATACTAAAAATTGTTCTGCATGTCAACTAAACATTGCTCAATGATCGAATTACAACAACATATCTTTTAATATTTTTTTTCATCGTTTTTTTTTGTTATATTTATTCATCTCACTTTGTCTTTTTGTTGTTTTTCCCTTATTGGACTTTTTAGCTTTTTTTTCAAAAAAAAAAATGAAAAAAGTTATTACTAGGAATTTATGCTCAAATAATTGATATGAGCATTGTAATTATCAATAAGAAATGCATTTGGTTTAATTGAAAATGATAAACAAAAAAATGAACAAAAAAGAATGAATTATAAGAGTATAAGATATTGCAAATATTATGAAGAAATTTTGAATACAAAAAAGGAGAGGTGAAAGAGATGGTTGAAAAGGTGGAATCAGAAAGTGAAAAGGGAGGGGATGAGAAAAGGAGTGGAATGAAATAGGATGAAGAATGAAATTACTTTGGGATTTGGGATCGCCGTACGTACGGGTTTTGTGCCCGATTTTGCAAATTTGATTACGATATACATATATATATATATATATACGCATACATAAATTGAGTTTCCTTCCTTCATTCTTTTTACCCTCTTTTCCTCCTTTACATTCCATTTTTCCATACCTTTTTTCTGATGACCTCAATCTTACCTCTATAGGTAACTAATATTTTCTTTAGAATTAATTATGAATATAGGAAAAATGCAGAATATACATACATACACACATACAGAAGTACGTAATATAAATATAAAATGTACATGAATATATGTATAAATAGAAAATAGATGGGATTTTTGGATAAGTTATTAACGGATTTCAAATCCTTGGACCTGGTAATTCCCAGGAGAATTTTGCAGGAATTGCCCGATTTTGTTGTATTTTCATTTTACATAAGGAATTTCATTTTTCACTTATCCATTCATTTAACAAAAAGATTCGGACAAAAAAACACTATGTTAGTAATATATAATGATGGTGATGATGATGAATTTTGTAAATTTTATCTTTATGTTTTACAAAAGATCTTGAAACATATTAAGAAACATTTTCATTTTATTTGCTTTAATTAAAAAAATACTTTTCAGTAATTTTTAAAATGAATTAATTCAAGATTTATCGAAAAAATTTAAGATAGATATATTACGTATATTATGTGCGAAGAATAGCTTTCCTCCATTTTTATTATCTAAGCATTTTATTGTTTATGAGATGATTATTTTCGATAATGAACATAAGGGCAATAATTAAATATAATTTATATTTTACCAATACCATACATATTATACGCATTTCGATTAATCTTTTTAAAAAATTGAAAAGAAATCATTTAACTAATATTAATTAATTACTGTTGCATGCATATATCATTGAATTCAATATAGTTGCTTTCCCGAAAATTAGTTCTTTATCTGTTTTACAAATTTTTTTATTTTACAGAAGATTTTTTAATTTAAATTCTAATTATATCTTTTTATGCATTTCATAATTCAAAAATCCGAAACTGTTCATTAACAAATAATTTTATTTTACATAATTTAACTAATTAAAAGTTATCCGAAAACAAAAAAATCATCCTGAATTATAAGATCAATATGTCATAAGGTAGCACAGACACACACACACACACACACACACAGAGCAATTTATATGTAAATTTAATAGATACAAAGCCATTTAGTGATATTTAATTCATAGCTATGATTGTGTCACTGCCGTTCCATCGTCAGAGTCATCACAGTTTAGCATATCATTACCGTAAATATATGTCAAAACTGTCTGTCTCATTATCGTAAATATATGTCAAAACTGTTAAAAGACTAATGATGATGTCGTAAGAATATGTAAATTTGTTTCAATTAGCTCAGAAATTAATGGTACTTTATTTGATTGGCGCCAAATTTCCAGATTAAAAACGTTATTTTGACTGATTCAAGGACATTTAGGTCTAAAAATGCTGAAATTTTGCATAAATTTTCATGAAATTTTGACAGAATGACAAAATGCTTTCCATCATTGTGCAAATTCTGCTACATTTTCTATTACATTCATCAATAATTTTTGTGCTAACGATTTTTGATAATGCTAACAAATTTTCTGTTACAACGATAATAATTAATAGTTCAAATAAAATTTTGGAAAAATTATTGTACCTAAATCTAAACAATGTAATAGATAAAAGTTGTAATTAATAAAAATTTTAAGAAGAAAAGAACGATATTATCGCATGAAATACTGTATTATGATGCAATCGTAAATGATATGACAATTATATGCCATATAATAAAGCAAGAAAAAAAGATTGTAAATTTAGGTGAGAATGCATAAAATTGTTATAACTTGCAATTTATTTAAAGCACTTAAAATAAAATTAAATGTTCTTTATTTTTTTTCTCATTTGCATTTATTTCTATTCATTTGCAACAATTTTCATAATCAGAAAACTAAATCTTAAACAAGTAATGCTTTACAAACATTAAAAACCCAGAAAAGATAATGAAATCATCCGAGCTTATTTCTTCGAATTTTTATATACCAAAAAAACTAACAAAATATATAATTTTAAATGTAAAAATTTGGGGAAAAAATAGCGCCGAAATTTTTGATTCAATCTCTACAAACACATTTTAATTTCTCTCGTTTTTTTTTTTCAAAGTAAACGGACGAAACAAAAAGAAAATAAATCGTTGCCAATTTATTTTTCCTTCCAAACTCTCGTAAATAGTGTTGATGAGGGAAGTTGAATAGAAGGTCTGAAATTATATCGAAAACGATACTTTTGGGATTGTGTAAAGCCATATCATTCGGTGTAGTTGAAATGCTTCAATAATCTCCGATTTGTGCTCCTATTTATATTTAACTTTTTCCAACAATCTTAACAATTTGACATGACTCATTCTTATCCAAAAATAGTATAAGTAGTTTTATTAATTTCAAAAAATGATCAAGAAAACAAAAGAATTGTTATTTATTCCTTCTTAATAAGTTAGCCGTTTTAATTTTGTTGTTGAAAAATAATGCGATTTGATTGAAGTCTGAATGCAGTCAAAGAAATTGATATTAAAACAGATTTTGTTGTTCTATGCTCAGTATATGGCTAAAATTTAATATAATTTTCCAAATATTTACGCAACTCGAGTAAAAAGTAAATCAAATTGCTAAATTTAATAGTTTTATTTTGGATTCAAAATTCTCGAACAACAATTCTATCGGTAATAATTTTATATAATTTGACTAATAATTTCTGAGGTTTGGGTTTGTCTATTAAAAACTTCTATTTCCAGTTTACCTAATCTGCATTCTAGTTTTTCTGATTTTTCACAGTTATCGTTAATGTTGTAATTGCAACAATTGGTTGTCATTTTATTTTCTTAAATTTTTCAATTATTGGCAAACATATCACTTAATTGGTGGAAGCAAAATTGTTTTGTTACATCTTTCCCTATCTAATCTTTTTTTATAATTCATTCCAAATATTTTAAAAAAGATGAAAAAATTATACATTTAACTCTGATTAATTTGTTCAATTCAACTTATATTATCCATTCACATAAAATACAGTATCTCTCCAGAATTACACTATTCATTTTTAAATAATTCAAAAATAATTTTATCTGTTGATAACGAATCAAATCATTATATTTTATCAATCTTCTTTCCCTTGATTTTTCTACATTATATGTGTACAGTTTCCCAAATTTCGAACAATATGTTTGATTGAAATGGACCAATTATTTGCCATGTACCTTTATCGTACCTTAACGATGTCTATTCATAGTTTATTGGTCAGGTAGAAATTGAGACATCTTCCTTTCCATTTATTCCATTCATTCATTCACCATATTCAATTGTATCCTTGGAAATTACACATCATTATACATACAATGTATGTATGTGTGTGCTTTTACATTTAAGATACCTTTTGAGAGAATTGGAAGGTGGTGAATGATGAAAATATTGCAGTAGACAAGGTGTCCTATCGCACAGACTTGCCGCATCGTACATTAATCTATCCTGCTGTGAATTACTGTTGTAAGCGGTACAGGTCAAAGGTTAGTTATAGTTGGTGCAACAAAGTTACATGCATTATTACATAATTAATTGAGCTACAGGTTTCATATTGCTTGATATATTAAAACAGGATAGTTCCGAATTTGATAAAGTAATTGATTGAGGGGAAGAATGAATGAATGAATGAGGATATAAAAAAGTCAATGATTTTGTGTATGGTGTAATTATTATGATGTGAAAAGAGGTGCTTGAAGTTGTGACCTTTGCTGTCCCATCTGTTACTTTCACCTCCTTGAACTATTCTAATCAAAGGATAAGGCTTATTGTGATATGAGTAAAAAGCTTGTTGATTTGTTAATGAACACTGATTTTAGTGGATTTATGCGTGATAATTAGTTAACTATTATTTACTATTGCAAAAAGGATTTCAACAACACTGCTTGTCAAAGCGTAAACATAATCAATAAACAGGCCTTTCTTCTTTTCTGCACTTCTCTCTCTCCCTCTTAATTGTTATCATACTTTTTTATACAGTAATAGGTCAGGTATATATCGTCAACCTTTAGAATAACGCAACGGCCTGGCACTGACCGAAATTCAAAGTACAGTATGTTACGAAGTAAGGAAGGAAAAAATGAAATGATTTTCACTACTATCATTTCTGATTATCTTAATTGATGTATACTTTTTAATGTAATACTTCCATTTAAAATGAAAAAAAAAGATTATTTATTTATTTATTAAATATCTTCGTGTTTAATTTCATTTTAATT